GGACTTAATCGGCAACTGGATAGCTTTATCTAATGTTGGACAGGAAAATATCAGTTTTCGCTACAAGCGCGAAAAGTGAAAACGACCTGTATGACTCGCCTTTTCCCATTTTTCAGGTTTCTCGAACGATATGGGTGGCTAGCGACACCTTGAGAACTTTTGTCAGGTACTCAACTCCCACCGAATCCAGTTCTTTCAACATTTATAGTGAGATGGCATCTGTAATCAATGCTTCTTATGGCTTAGCGTTTTGAATGACATTTCAACACCAACATCACCATCGTAAACTTTGGTGATGCCTCCTTTGCGAAAAGTGATCTAATACGACGAAGTACTCTTTGCTTCGCCCTATTGTTCTCAGGGTGCTCGTCAAATTGTCGGTTACAATATCCGCATACCTCTACGGATCAGTAACTGTAACTTCGTTGAAAATGACTGAGGTCCTATCATCGGGAACGACATAACCGTTATCCACAGCGTACTCATAACAGTTCCAATGTTGCAACACAGGACAAATGGTCCTTCCACTTCATTCCTCTTATGCTCCCGTACCAACCGGTTGACTTTCACTGTTAAATTACTGATTCTGGAAATCATTACTAGTCCCGCTGCCTCTTCTGGAAAATTTGGTCTTACTTCGCGTATTCGACTAGCAGCTTTATAGCGAGCGGCTGCGTTTCAACTAACCGAACATCAGAAGGATTGGGCAATACATTGAAGCGAAGGTTGGCGAACTGTTAATAAAGTGCGGCGTTCAAATTTATGAAATCGGGAAATCTGCTTATGGAGAAGATTATCGACAGATGGTCAGATCCAGGGTTGCCAAGTCACGTCATTTATCAGACCGGGTGGCACTATGGTTAAGTCTGGCAATCTGTGAAACTGGTATTTGGTACCAGATAGAGCTCGGAAATACCTTTGCCAAATTTTATCAAGATCGGTTGAGTTTTAGATGTAACTCCAATATATATGTTTACCAAATTTCGGGTGAATTGTGCACCAAATGGTTAATATCAGTCCAAATAACAATTTGGTACCAGAAATCTTATAGAGCTCGGAAATATCTTTGCCAAATTTAATCGAGATCGGCTATGATTTAAATATAGCTCCCATATGTATTCTTAATTCGATTTCAGGTTTCATGTGCTAATATCAGCCAAAATGGAGTGAATTTCGGGACGTACGTTTCCATTTTGTGGAACTCGCCTTCTCGAAGTGATATCATGCACTCTACAGTAATGTTAATTGGTTTAAAAGTTTAAAATGTCACCATTAAATTTGTTAATGGTGGGGTCGGAGACCTTATATGGCATGTAGATCGAGGATAGAAGGAGGAATTGAGATATGAAGGTGGTTTTGGAAATGTGTACTATAATTGTGCGAAAAGTACTGAATGGTTCTAAATTTGGTATTGGGTAGAGGAATAAAGATGAAATCATGAAATTTGATGTAGATGCCACTGTAGGTGTCTGTGGTTAAGATATGAAGGTGGTTTTCGAAGTGTATCATAATTGTGCGAAAAGTACTAAATTGGATGGTAGGTGAAGGGATAGAGCTGGATATCCGAAATCTGATATTGAGGTTTCTGTTGGTCTCTGGGATTAACAAAAAGTATTACCTAGTCCTAATATTGGTATTGGATGAACGAATAGAGTTGAAATCATGAAATTTGATATAGATGTCACTGTAGGTGTCTGCGGTACGAAAAGTTCTAAGTGGTACAAAAATGTTTATTGGGTAAAGGGATAGAGCTGGAATCCCGAAATGTGACATTGAGGTTTCTGTTGGTATCTGGGATTAAGATTTGGAGGTGATTTGGAAATGCGTCCTATACTTGTACGAAAAGTGCTAAAATGGAACTAAATTTGGTATTGCGTGAAGGCATAGAGCTGGAACCCTGAAATTTGATATTGAGGTTTCTGTTGCGATCTGTAATTGAGATATGAACGTCGTTTTGGAAATGTTTACTATAATTGTTCGAAAAATACTAAATAGTACTGAATTTGGTATTGGGTGAAGGTATAGAGCTGATTTTCTTAGATTTCATATAGAGTTCATTGTTGGTTTCTGAGGTTTACATAGGGAGACGTTGAAATAGGTTTGGGCGGAAAATTGCAAGTGGGTCCATTGGCAATGGATTTACTTATATCCTCGACGGTACACTTCAAAATGAAAGATTTTAAGAATTTTTTTGATGTGAGAAAAAGAAAGACCTGAATAAAATATAAAAACTTGACTTTCTGAAAATCTAGTACGATATATGAAGTTTTGATTTTGATTTTGAATTTTTGTCAAACTAAGCAAATTATGAATTTTGAGTACTAACACGAACTGCTGGAACGAATCTTAAATTTTAATATTAAGACTTATGTAAAGTGAAGAAGGAAATCGGATACGTTGTAATATTTATATGAGATATTTGTGAGATACGAAATGGACAATATTGACCGGCTTCTTCGGAACCTCCCGCCATAGGGGGCAACAGTGTGAAAAATAGTGCAAGTCAAAAAATGTTTAAATAAACGATTATTGGCTACGGATATACATTTGTCGGCTAAACCAATTGTTATTTTAGTACTTTCTGCTTTTGAATCTATTTTCAAAACATTTGCTTACTTATAATATTCAATTTAACTTCTCACGAAGTCTTACGTTCAGCTTATTTCCATAGATGGCGCCATGTATGTTATCATCTAAATGTCCTGCCTTTTTTCACACTCCCACACACATGAGTGTCACTTGTGCAAAGTTTCAGTATCCTAGCTTTGACAACTATGTTTGGGCGTTGGTGAATCATTCCGTCATTCCGTCCAGCTTACTCTGGTACTTGCAGAGCTGCAGATCGATCAGCTATCACAATACCTTTCCTTGTTATAAAATTATGTATAACATCTTATGGTATAAATTACCGTATTATCGGCAATTTTTTTGTCTTTATTTCATTTTCAAATCATAACAAAAAAACCACTGAAATTGCCGGTAAATTTCATTGAATTACGTACACTGCCAGAGGCATAATGCGCTCGCTCAGTTGGGCAGTCTGTTTTTGTTGAGAGGGACTGTGTTTGTGTTGGGGCAGGGGGTCTTAGTCATATTTCTCAGGCCAAGTTGTGTGTGAATTGTTGTTGTTACCATTGGGGATCCAATGAATGAGTTATATAGAGAGTAACTTTTCGTGAGAGAGAGACAGAGAAGAGTGCCTTGCAAAAAATATCGTTTCTCGTATACACACACACACACCTCCACACACTTGCTTGTTTTGTTTGTTTACCTTTATTTGAATGGTTGTTTAAAAACAAATGTAAGTTTTCAAACTCGATTCATTTACGTTCATACAGTCGAAGTGTTGAGAAGTGTTCTGAGAAGTGTTGCCGCGTATGAAACGCGTATTCGCATTATCATCAAATCACCTAGAAAGAAAAAAAGGCGCGCGCGCACCACTTGAACTAAAAAAAAAAAGATTTTCGAAAATCTTGAGAAAAACAAAAAAAAAAACGAATAAAAATGCCATCAAATTGAATTGAACTGAATTAAAGTTTGCTAAAGAAAACAGAAACACCCGATTTTTGGTTAAACATTTTGTCTTGAAAACTCAAAAAACAAAAACATCTGTGTGTGAGTGTGTTCAAATCGTGTTGCATTTTTTTGCCAAGTGATTGATCGTTAAATGGATGATTTGTTCAATTGAAGTTAAACAAGTTTCCTTGCAAAGAAAATTCCAAACACCGAAACGAAATCGAGTTTAACAATTTTGTAACCAAAATCTACAAAAACAACAGCAGCAGCAAAAACTAGTCAGTCAGTCAGTCAGTTTGAGAAAAGACATATATATATATATATATATATATACAACTGCACTTCGTCGTATGCGTAAAACTTGGAAAGCTCCACCCTCCATCCCTACAACGAATCCTCAACTCTTTAAATGAGGGGGAATTTTATGTGGTCATAATGCATTCATTGTATATCCATGAGCATTTGATGTGTGCCCAAATCAATCAAGAACAACAACAACAAGCGTCACAAAAACCCAAAATTCCGCTAAACAAAGTCCCAAAGAATTTCGATTCCTTGAAAAGTTGCCATAAAAATTTGTTAAAATCTCTGCAAGAGAAATACAATAAAGCGAATAAGAAAATTATTGTTAAATAGAAATAAATACAAATATTGAAAGTTAAGATATTTATATTAAAAAAAAACAACAAAATAATTAAGTGGAAAAATAAACATAATTATTTGTATTTAATAGAAGCAAAAGTGAAAAAAAGTGGGTGAAAACTACAACAACTTGAAAATCCTAAACACAAGCAACGAAGTTTTAGAAACAACGAAATTTTACAAAACCTAAGTGAAAAATTAAAAATTGTTTTCAAAAACTAAAATTGAGAAATAATTGAAAAAATCGTAAATGATAAATAATTATATTTAAAATAGATGTTTTTAACTTTTTTTAAAACTGATATTGAAAAATAAATTATTTTTTGTTGAAAACTCAAAATAAAACAGATATATTAAAAAAAAATAAAATATATTTAAAAATTTTATTTTTTTTTTTAAACTAATATTGAAAAATAGTTGAGAAAATATTTTTGCTAAAAACTCAAATAAAAACTTAATTTTTAAAAAGTAATTTCATGAAAATCCAAACAACGAAGTTACGACTGAAAAATAAAAATTAATAAAAATATAAAACATTGTATTTTTTTATTAAAATTAAAAAAACTAAAAACTCAAATAACAAAGCTAAAATTTGTAAAAAGAAAATATTAGAAAAATATACAAAACATTGTTTTTATATAAAGTTGAAAAAGAATTGAAGTTAAAAAGTCAAAACAAAATACATTTTTTAAAAATCATTGAAAAAAATCAAAACAACAAAAACATAAAACCATAAAAAGTGTTTTTTTTTTTTTTTTTTTTGTAAAATTTATATACAATTTTAAAACAAATAAAAATATTATTGATTAATATTCATAACAATTTTTTGCGCATAACTCAACAAAAAAAAACTAGTCAAAGAATCCAATACAACGAATTTGTATTCAAAGCCATTTTCTTAAAAATTAAAACAACAACACAAACATGCTCAACAAATATTTAACAAAAATTTCCAATGCTGTCCAGCATAAAAACAAAGAAAACCTTAAGCATCACAATCATCATCATCAAACGCTGACCAGCAGCAACAGCTACGATGAGACGCACAAACAAAATGCCCGCAATTTGGAATATGAACGGGCCATTGCCGCTTCATATGCTGCCATGTCCTCGTCGGCTGCGGGATCCACACCCAAAAAGAAGAAACCAAAAATTAATGTACACAGTACGAATAATACCAAAACTTGCCTTACCACAAATGAATTGGCCATTATAATTAAGGGAGAGTCACATCACAACAGCAACAACAACCACAACAAACGTCACACACTCAAGGAATCCCACAACATTTACTCATGCACCCCGCCCCCAGCCGGACCCCTGAGGGAGACAAAAAGTTCCCTGACTTTACATCTCTCGACATCGCCAACATCATCGGGTATTTATTCGAATGTTTCGTCGTCATATGGCTCGGCCAACTCGACCTCATTGAAAGTCCATTCATCAGCCTCCTCCTCCTCGTCGGGAGCTTCTTCATCAGCCTCGACGGAATCTCTCAATTCATCGGCAGCCAGTGAAACGCCCTATTCATCGAATGTCTCAACACCCACTTCATTGCCATCGTCGGGTAATTTGGTGTGGCCTGTATCCGCCAGCAGACTGCATTTGCCGCATGAATTGGCCATGCTGAGGATTAGAATGTGGATATTTCCGTGGGTATTTTTTTCTAATTTCAATATGTTTTTAGTATAACTTTAATATATATTTTAAATACTTCTGGGAAACTTTGGATTTTAGCGGTTGGTTTCAGAACAAAGACCTTAATAATAAATTGTTAAGTGTAAGCCGAGTAGTTTTGACTGGACTGAAATAGCAATTTGGCGCTATCTTGGAAATTTAAAAACTAATTTTTTTGAAGTGTTTCAGAAATAATTTTTTGATGTTGAAATGTTACAACAGAAGCCGACAGTCGGCCACCTACAAAAATTCCGTCAAAAAAAAAATTAAACAGGAGGAATTTTTAGCAAGTACTTCATCTTCTTTGCCAGCGAAAAGTCCAATTTTATATTCGTTCCAACAGTTCGTGTCAGGCCTTTTAATCAGAGTTGTGTCTATGTAGCTCATGGTTCAGTACATAAGTTTCTAAACGTATGAGTGATTTTATAAATTGCACACATTTCATATCACTCATACGCATTTCACACGATCGGAGTCCACGCAAGTAGACCTAGGAACTAGTTTGCTCGATCGAATATATATATATATATATATATATATATATATATATATATATATATATATATATATATATATATATATATATATATATATATATATATATATATATATATATATATATATATATATATATATATATTCAACGTCCCCATATGAGAACCCTAGAAACTAACAGTGACTTCAATATGAAATTTTAAAATTTCCGCTATATTCCAATACCAAATAACAAATTTAGTACACATATCCAAAGCAATCTACCTCTCTCCATTCTAGACACCAACAGTGATACAAAATTAGTACCATTTAGTACTTTTCGAAAAATTATAACCAACACCAACACCAGATACCAACAGTTCCAATACCAAATTTCGAAATTCCGGCTCTATCCCTTCACCCAATACCAAATTTAGTACCATTTAGTATTTTTGGTACAAATATGGGACAGATTTTCAATCCACCGCCAAATCTCGGTCTCACATACCAACAGCTATCTATACATAACATTTCAGAATTTTATATCATTCCTTCGCCCAATACCAAATAAAGTACCATTCGGTATTTTTGGTACAATTAAAAAAAAACATATCCAAAACCACCTGTCATGGCTACACCTGAAGAGATTTTAGATTTCAAGAACCACAGGGTGATATAAAAATAATGCAACAAAGTTAAACGCCATAATTTTTTCATTTTTTTTTTTTTTTTAATTTTTTTGAATGAAAGCGAAAAATGTCGGAAATAGCATTAACTTTTTGAATAAGTTTAGATTTGTTCGAATTGGTCACCTTTTACAGGAATTATGACCTTCAAACGGAAAATGAAACCGTCAAACGCTGTCCGAATGTTGCTATGCGGGTGATCGACACTTTGTTATTATTTAGTGCCAACCTTGCTTTCCAAAATACTCCAGACACAAAAGTCCAAAGGATTACTATCCGGAAATTTTGGTGGCCATTGTAGGCGCTGGAAATGAACCGAGGAACCTCATTTTGTTATCATTCTTGGGTTGCGCGTGCTGAGTGCTATGGTTCTGAGTCCTGTTGGAATGTCCAAGGTCTGCGCTCAAAATGTTTGCCCAAGGCTTTAATACACCCTCCAGAATATTTTCGCGATATCATTCGGCATTTATTCTGATGGCACGGTCGATTAATACGAGCGTAAATCGACCATCGGCTGTTATGGCGGCCCATACCATCACCATGGCCGGCGCTTGAGTTCTGGTGGCCAACCGAAGGTGCACATTTCCAGCTGACCTCTTTGGCAAGTAAACACGATCATTGTTTCTTTTTTGTTAACAAACTGCTGGACAACGAAGGTTTTCTCATCGGAGAGAACCAAATTCGGCAGTTCACCACATTCGGCCAAGCGAAGCAACTCTTTAGCTCTTTTGAGTCTATTTTCCTTCTGTTGCGGTGTAAGTTTTGGCACTTTTTGGAATCTCAATGGCTTTACAACCCGAACTCATTTTCAATATTTGCCAAATAAAATATTGCAATATGTTCAGCTCACGAGCCATTTTTCGGTCACTGCGACGCGGGTTTTGATCAAGTCGCTTCTTTACTTTTCGAACCATTTCTGCTGAGGTTGCTGGTTTCTTCCGTCCACTTCCTTGACGTCGGGTTGCGCTACCAGTATCACGGTAGCGAGCGATGGTGCGAGACACAAAAGTTTTATTCACATTTAAATGCTGGAGTGCTCTAACGATAGCCACTTGTGGTTTTCCAGCCAAATATAAAGAAATCACACTATCACGCTTGAATTCCATCACGAATTACTTTTTTTCTGGAAAATTCTCACTAAAATGCTTTTGTACGCTTCTAAACAATATAATGAGCTGTCACTGAAATAATTTTAACAGCTGTCGGACGGTTGGCTTTGAAATGACAGCAGTCTGAAGTTGGTTGCAATTTTCTCACCTCACCCTGTATATATATTATTGGGACTAAAATAAGGGTCCACGTGTTAGTATATTTCTAAATAAAAAAGTATTTTAAGTTTAGGATTTCAATCGCTAGATTTGTTTCATTTCAGATCCCGAATAATTTTTTTCCACTGAAAATTGTTCTATTTTTCAAAGGTTGCAAGATTTTCTGTTGCGTAGAAAGCCCCTTCGCATTTAGTGTCGTTTGTTTTCATTTTTTTTTCACTTTTGTTGTTGTTGGTTTTCTATTATTATTTACAAAAACAATTTATTCTTCGTATTTACAATTTGAATAGCATTTCCTTCCTTTGCCCTTAATTTTTTTCCAGAACACCAAATAGTTCCTTGTTTTAACGGAAATTCTTTGTCATTGCTCACCCCCGTTTCCGCTCAGTGTTTCATGGCAGAAATGTTTTGTTTATAAAATCAATTGATTTAATTGTAAAAAAACACAATTAAATCGTCACAAACATTGGCGTGGGTTAGACATTTTGTGTGGGTGTTCAGAAACCCTTTCAAACGTAGTTGGAAGTTTGAAAGGTTCTTTCATATTATTTAAAAAATATATAAACCAAAAAAGTTTTGAAAATATTTCAATTTTCTGGGTTAGACTTCCTTTCTCCTCTCCCTCGCTTCCATCCACGTCAATAACCAACCATTAAGCAGCGTTTTCAGTTATTTCAATATTTCCACTTTAGATATACAGAAAAATATACTTAAATACATTTAAATATGTATGTCTGTAGATATGCTGTGAGTGACAAATGTACAGAAATATAAAAAAATACGTGACTTCCTATCTACTTCAGAAAACAAAAAAAACAGCAACAACAAAAACACATTTATTCATACTGAATTTACTATTCCGAATCTCAGTGTTTTATTTTTTCATTATTTTATTTTTTGTTGGCCATTTTCATTAATTGCTGTCTTGTTGTTGTTATTGTTGTTTTTTTTTCACTTAATAAAAAAGTGCTAATTTTCTTTCATTTCTTTTGTCTGAGAGTTGTTGGGCCTACAAAGAGAGTTCATAGGTTCGCCATTAAAGCTGATCTTTTTTTTTGTTATATGGGGTAGTTGAAGGTGAGATTTTTTTTACAACTTTTTTTTACTAGTTCATTAACTATTCTTGAGATTTTTAACTGAACTCCGGACACAATTAAAATTCCATTTTTTTGTTGTACTATGTATGTAAACCATTAAAAATGTTTACTTTATGTTCATAATGCAATGAACGTTGTATAGTTGTAAAAATGAGCTCTACCGAAAATTGCCTCAGTCGGAAAGGTGATAATTAATAAGGGCTTCCTTTTTATGCCAATAATTCAGATTGTAAACTCAATTGGAGTTTTATGAAATCAAAACATTGTTCCAGCTTTGTGTTGAGCATATTTTTAGGAATATACAGGGGGAGATGAAAAAATTGCAACAAAGTCAAAAGCCATAATTTTTACATTTTTTTAAATTGAACAGTGTGGCTTGTTTGTTCGGGATACCGTAGTATTTTGTTGTTGCAAAATGGTCAGGCTTTATTCCTTTATTGTTGTTTTTATAAAAATAATGTTTTTTTATTAGTGGAGAACGATGGTAATGTTTACCAGGGGGTAAGGTAAATTTTATTGAAAGAAAGCAAAAAATGTCGGAAATAGCATTAAATATTAGAACAAGTTTAAATTTCTTCGAATTGGCCTCCTTTGGCACAAATTATGGCCTTCAAACGGCCAATGAAACCACCGTCACACATTGCCCGAATGTTGCTCTGCTGTATTTTGGCCCATTCTAGACGAAGCGTTTGCTTAAGGTGATCGACACTTTGGTATTTTTTAGTGCCAACCTTGCTTTCCAAAATACTCCAGACACAATAGTCCAACGGATTGGTATCCAGAGATTTTGGTGGCCATTGTGCGCTGGAAATGAAGCGAGGAACCTCATTTTGTAAACATTCTTGGGGGGCGCATGCTGAGCCCTGTTGGAATTTCCAAGGCCTACGAGCAAAATGTTTGCGTGCCCAAGGTTTTAATGCACCCTCCAGAATATTTTTGCGAAATATTCGGCATATATTCTGCGACCACGGTCGATTAATACGAGCCCAGAGCGACAATCGGCTGTTATGGCGGCCCACGCCATCACTATGCCCGGCACTTGAGTTTTGGTGGCCAACCCAAGGTGCCATTTTCAAATGACCTCTTTGGCAAGTAAACACGATTATTTTGTTTGTTTACAAGCTGCCGGACAACCAACGTTTTCTCATCGGAGAAAACCAAATTCGGCAGTTCACCACTTTCGGCCAAGCGAAGCAGCTCTTTCGCTCTTTTGAGTCTATTTTCTTTCTGTTGCGGCAGTTGACCGCTTTCGGCCAAGCGAAGCAACATTTTAATTATTTTCAGTCCATTTTCATTCAGATGCGGTGTAAGTTCTTGCACTTTTTGGAATTTCAATGGCTTTACCCCGAACTCATTTTTCAATATTTGCCGAATGGAATATTGCGATATATTCAGCTCACGAGCCATTTTTGGCCGCTGTGACGGGGGTTTCGATCAAGTCGCTTCTTTA